AGGTGGGGGGACAGGTGAGGGACAGGTGAGTCACAGGTGAAACACAGGTGAGGGACAGGTGAGGGACAGGTGAGACAGGTGAGGGACAGGTGAAGGACAGGTGAGTCACAGGTGACACAGGTGAGGGACAGGTGAGTCACAGGTGAGACAGGTGAGGGACAGGTGACACAGGTGAGTCACAGGTGAGTCACAGGTGAGTGGGACCAGGGAACAGTTTTGCACCTGGCTGGCAGAACAGGTGTGCTCAGGTGATCTCCCAGCACTGGCTGGGTGACACAACTGAGTGTCCCCAGGTGTGTACCCCATCCCCAGGTGTCCCCAGGTGTGTTACCTGTCCCCAGGTGGCACTGAGTGACCCCATAGGTGTCCCCAGGTCTGTACCCCATCCTCAGGTGTCCCCAGGTACCCCCAGGTGTGTTACCTGTCCCCAGGTGGGTCTCCCTCAGTCACAGGTGAACCCTCACAGGTGTCCCCAGGTGTGTTACCTGTCCCCAGGTGGCACTGAGTGACCCCATAGGTGTGCCCCAGGTGTCCCCAGGTGTGTACCCCATCCTCAGGTGTCCCCAGGTGTCCCCAGGTGTCCCCAGATGTGTTACCTGTCCCCAGGTCTGTCCCCAGGTGTGTTACCTGTCCCCAGGTGGGTCTCCCTGAGCCACAGGTGAACCCTCACAGGTGACCCCAGCTGTGTCCCCAGGTGACCCCAGCTGTGTCCCCTGTCTCAGGTGTGCCCCCAGGTGTGTCCCCCATCCCCAGGTGTGTCACCTGTCCCCAGGTGTGCCCCCAGGTATGCCCCCAGGTGTGTTACCTGTCCCCATGTGTGTCCCCTCCCCCGTCCCCAGGTGGGCCTCCCGGAGCCGCAGGTGAAGCGCTGCGCCGCCCAGGTGTGCTCGGCGCTCTGTTACCTGCACGGCCACGCCCTGGTGCACGCCGACCTGAAGCTGGACAACGTGCTGGCCTTTGACCCCGAGTGCCACCTGGTCAAGCTCGGCGACTTCGGCCTGACGCGCGTGCAGGGCGCGCAGGTGCGCCCCGCCCCCGGCCACGCCCCCTACGCCGCCCCGGAGCTGCTGCCGCGCGCCCGCCCGCGCCCAGGTGAGCCCCACCTGGCGCCGCCCGTGGACACCTGGGCGCTGGGGGTGCTGCTGTTCGCGCTGCTCACCGGCAGCTTCCCCTGGGCCGCGCCTGCGCGCTCCGACCCCGCCTTCCGCCGCTTCCGCGCCTGGCACGGCCGCGCCTGCGCAGAGGGGGGCGGGGAGGGGGCGGGGCCGCCCGGGCGCAGCTGGAGGGGCCTGGCGGGGGCGGGGCTGGAGATGCTGCGGGGGCTGCTCCACCCCCAGGCAGGGAGGAGGAGCCCACCTGGGGAGGTGCTCAGGTACCTGGGCGGGGCCTGGCGGCGGCACGGGGAACAGGGGGGCGCAGCAGGTGAGGGGGGACAGGTGAGCTCCATAGAGCAGGGGGGACAGGTGAGCGCAGCAGGTGAGGGGGGACAGGTGAGCCCAACAGGTGAGAGTAGGAGCGGCCAGGTGAGCTCCATAGAGGAGGGGGGACAGGTGAGCTCTGCAGGTGAGGAGGAGCAGGTGAGCTCTGCAGGTGAGGGGGGACAGGTGAGCTCTGCTGATGGGAGTGGCCAGGTGAGCTCCATAGAGGAGGAGGGACAGGTGAGCTCTGCAGGTGAGAATGGGAGTGGCCAGGTGAGTGCAGCAGGTGAGGGGGAACAGGTGAGCACAGCAGATGAGAGTGGGAGCGGCCAGGTGAGCTCTTCAGGTGAGGAGGGACAGGTGAGCTCCATAGAGCAGGGGGAACAGGTGAGCCCAACAGGTGAGAATGGGAGCGGCCAGGTGAGCTCTGCAGGTGAGGGGGAACAGGTGAGCTCTGCAGGTGGGAGTGGCCAGGTGAGCTCTGCTGGTGGGAGTGGGACCAGTCAGGTGAGCCCAACAGGTGAGGAGGGACAGGTGAGCTCTGCTGCTGAGAGCGGCCAGGTGAGCTCCATAGAGGAGGGGGAACAGGTGAGCTCTGCAGATGGGAGTGGACAGGTGAGCTCTGCAGGTGAGAGTGGGAGTGGCCAGGTGAGCCCCACAGGTGGCTCCGGGTCCCCCAGTATTGAGGTGAGGACACCTGGACAGGTGAGGGGAACACCTGGACAGGTGAGGGGAACACCTGGAGATGGGATAGAAACACCTGGACAGGTGAGGGGAACACCTGGATGTGGGATAGAGACACCTGGAGATGGGATAGAAACACCTGGACAGGTGAGGGGAACACCTGGAGATGGGATAGAAACACCTGGATGTGGGATAGAGACACCTGGATGTGGGATAGAAACACCTGGAGATGGGATAGAGACACCTGGACAGGTGAGGGGAACACCTGGAGATGGCATAGAAACACCTGGACAGGTGAGGGGAACACCTGGATGTGGGATAGAAACACCTGGACAGGTGAGAGAAACACCTGGATGTGGGATAGAAACACCTGGACAGGTGAGGGGAACACCTGGAAATGGGATAGAAACACCTGGGCAGGTGAGGGGAACATTTGGAGATGGGCTGGCAACACCTGGAATGAGATGGAAACACCTGGAGATGGGATAGAAACACCTGGAGAGGTGATGGACACATCTGGAATGGGCAGGGAACACCTGGACAGGTGATGGACACATCTGGAATGGGCAGGGAACACCTGGAGTCACCTGGGCTCACCTGGGGATCCCAAATTCAATAAAATTCCCGGATTTTGGATTTTTTTTTGCCTCTTTTTTTTTTGCCTTTTTTTTTTTTTTTTTTACCTGGTTGGGTCTGGTGGGTGGGGGAGGGGTGGGGAAATTGGGGGGAAAAATGGGAAAAATTGGGAAAAAAGGGAAAAAAGGGGAAAATCGGAATTTTGGGGAAAATGGGGAGAAAATGGGGAAAATGGGGTTAAATGGTGAAAAAATGGGAAAATTGGAATTTTTGGGAAGAATGGGGGGGGAATGGGGAAAATTGAGAAAAATGGGAAAAATGGGGGGAAATGGGGGGGGAAATGGGAGGAAATGGGGAAAATGGGGGAAAATGGGGGAAAATGGTGAAAATTTGAAAAAATTGAATTTTTGGGGAAAATGGGGGAAAATGGAGGGGAAAGGGAAAATTGGAAAATTGGAATTTTTGGGGAAAAATGGGGGAAAAAATGGGGGGAAATTGGGGAAATGGGAAAAATTGGGAAAAAGTGGGGAAATTGGAGGAAAACATGGGAGAAAAGGAGGGAAAATGGGAAAACCCCCAAAATCCCCCAAAATCCCCCAAATCCCCCAAATCCCCCCAAATCCCCCAAACGTCCCAAAATCCCCCAAATCCCCCCAAATCCCCCAAATCCCCCAAAATCCCCCAAATTCCCCCAAATCCCCCAAATTCCCCCAAACCCCCAAAATCCCCCAAATCCCCCAAATCCCCCCAAATGTCCCCAAATCCCCCCAAATCCCCAAAATCCCCCAAATCCCCCCAAATCCCCCAAATCCCCCCAAATCCCCAAAATCCCCAAAATCCCCCAAATCCCCCAAATCCCCCAAATCCCCAAAATCCCCCAAATCCCCAAATCCCCCAAAATCCCCCCAAAATCCCCAAATGCCCCCAAATCCCCCAAATGTCCCCAAATCCCCAAATCCCCCAAATGTCCCCAAATCCCCAAATCCCCCAAATGTCCCCAAATGTCCCCAAATGTCCCCAAAATCCCCCAAATCCCCCAAACATCCCAAAATCCCCCAAACCCCCCAAATCCCCCCAAATCCCCCAAAATCCCCAAATCCCCCCAAATCCCCCAAACCCCCAAAATCCCCCCAAACCCCCAAATCCCCCAAATCCCCCCAATGTCCCCAAATCCCCCAAATGTCCCCAAATGTCCCCAAACCCCCCAGGCCCCTCCCGGCCCCGCCCTTTTCCCGCCGCCCTTTGGATCCGGGCGGTTCCGGGGCCGAAGTTCCGGGAGCGGCTCCGGGGCCGCGGCCGCAGGTGGGGCCTGGACCGGGATCGGGATCGGGATCAGGATCGGGATCGGGATCGGGATCAGCATCGGGATCAGCACCAGGATCAGGATTGGATTGGGATTGGGATCGGGATTGGGATCAGGATTGGGATCAGGATTAGGGATTAGATTGGGATTGGGATTGGGATCAGGGATTAGATTGAGATTGGGATCGGGATTGGGATCAGAATCGGGAATAGGATCAGGATCAGGATCAGGGATTAGATTGGGATTGGGATCGGGATCGGGATCAGGATCGGGATCAGCACCAGGATCAGGATTAGATTGGGATTGGGATCGGGAATAGGATCAGGACCAGGACTGGGATTGGGATTGGGATCAACATCGGGATCAGCACCAGGATCAGGATTGGATTGGGACTGGGATCGGGATTGGGATCAGGATTGGGACTGGATTTGGATCAGGATTGGGATTAGGATCAGGATTAGGATCAGGATTAGGATCGGGAATAGGATCAGGAATAGGATCAGGATCGGGATCGGGATCAGGGATTAGATTGAGATTGGGATCGGGATTGGGATTGGGAATCGGGAATAGGATCAGGATCAGGATTGGGATCGGGATCGGGATTGGGATTGGGATCAGCACCAGGATCAGGATTGGATTGGGATTGGGATCGGGACTGGGATCAGGATTGGGAGTGGATTGAGATCAGGATCAGGATCAGGATCAGGATCAGGATCAGGGATTAGATTGGGATTGGGATTGGGATTGGGATCAGAATCGGGAATAGGATCAGGACCAGGACTGGGATTGGGATCGGGATCAGGATCAGGATTGGATTGGGATTGGGATTGGGATTGGGATCAGAATCAGGAATAGGATCAGGACCAGGATTGGGATCAGGAATAGGACCGGGATCAGGACCAGGAACGGGATCAAGAACAGGATCAGGAATAGGATCAGGACCAGGATCAGGACCAGGATCAGGATCAGGAATGGGGTCAGGAATGGGATCGGGAATGGGATCGGGAATGGGGTCAGGAATGGGGTCAGGAATGGGGTCAGGAATGGGGTCAGGGGTCCCGACCCCGCTGCTGCTCCTGGTGCTCTCCGTGCTCCATCCCACAGTGGGTGAGTCTGTGGGATCGGGAACGGGGATCCCAAAAATCCCGGGAATGGGGAATCCCGAAAATCCTGGGAATGGGAAACCCCAAAAATCCCGGGAACCCCGAAAATCCCGGGAACGGGAAACCCCAAAAATTCCCAGGAATGGGAAACCCCAAAAACCCCGGGAACCCCAAAAACCCCGGGAACGGGAAACCCCAAAAACCCCAAAAACCCCGGGAATGGGAAACCCCCAAAAATCCCGGGAACCCCAAAAATCCTGGGAATGGGAAACCCCAAAAAGGCCTGGGAACCCCAAAAATCCTGGGAATGGGAAACCCCAAAAACCCCAAAAATCCCGGGAATGGGAAACCCTAAAAACCCCGGGAACCCCAAAAATCCCGAGAACCCCAAAAATCCTGGGAATGGGAAACCCCAAAAACCCCGGGAATGGGAAACCCCAAAAAGCCCTGGGAACTCCAAAAATCCTGGGAACGGGAAACCCCAAAAAACCCCCGGGAACCCCAAAAATCCTGGGAATGGGGAACCCAAAAACCCCGGGAACCCCAAAAATCCGGGGAATGGGAAACCCAAAAACCCCGGGAATGGGAAACCCCAAAACCCTGGGAAATCCCAAAAACCCCGGGAATGGGAAACCCTAAAAACTCTGGGATATGGAACCCCAGAAATCCCGGGATATTGAACCCCAAAGATTTGGGAATATTGATCCCAATCAATCCCAGGATTATCAATCCAAATCAATCCGGGATTATCGATCCCAATCAATTCAGGATTATCGATCCCAATCAATCCCAGGATTATCGTTCCCAATCAATTCAAGATCATCAATACCAATCAATCCAGGATTATCGATCCCAATCAATTCAAGATCATCAATACCAATCAATCAGGGATAATCGATCCCAATCAATTCAGGATTATCAATCCCAATCAATCCAGGATAATCGATCCCAATCAATCTGGGTTTATCGATCCCAATCAATTCAGGATTATCGATCCCAATCAATTCAGGATTATCAATCCCAATCAATCAGGGATAATCGATCCCAATCAATTCAGGATTATCAATCCAAATCAATTCAGGATTATCGACCCCAATCAATTCCGGATTATCAATCCCAATCAATTCAGGATTATCGACCCCAATCAATTCAGGATTATCGACCCCAATCAATCCGGGATTATCGATCCCAATCCATTCAGGATTATCGATCCAAATCAATCAGGGATTATTGATCTAAATAAATTCAGGGTTATTGATCCAAATCCATTCAGGATTATCGATCCAAATCCATTCAGGGATTATCGATCCCAATCAATCAGGGATTATCAATCCCAATCAATCAGGGATTATCGTTCCCAATCAATCAGGGTTTATCGACCCCAATCAATGATCCAAATCAATTCAGGATAATCGATCCCAATCAATTCAGGATTATTGATCCCAATCCATTCAGGGTTATTAAACCCAGTCAACCCCAGGATTATTGACCCAAATCAATCAGGATTATCGATCCAAATCAGTCCAGGATTATCGATCCAAATCAGTTCAGGATTATCGATCCCAATTCAATCAGGGAATATTGATCCCAATCAATCCCAGGATTATCAATCCAAATCAATCCGGGATTATCGATCCCAATCAATCCAGGATTATCAATCCCAATCCATTCAGGGTTATCAATCCCAATCAATCAGGGATTATCGATCCCAATCAATGACCCAAATCAATTCAGGATTATCGATCCCAAATCAATCCGGGATTATCGATCCCAATGAATCAGGGATTATCGATCCCAATCAGTTCAGGATTATTGATCCAAATGGATTCAGGATTATCGATCCCAATCAGTCCAGGATTATCGATCCCAATCAGTTCAGGATTATCAATCCCAATCAATCAGGGATAATCAATCCCAATCAATCCGGGTTTATCGATCCCAATCAATCAGGGATAATCGATCCCAATCAATCCAGGATAATCGACCCCAATCAATCAGGGATTATCGATCCCAATCAGTTCAGGATTATTGACCCAAATCAATCAGGGATTATCGATCCCAATCAATGATCCCAATCAATCAGGGATTATCAATCCTAATCAGTTCAGTATTATCAATCCAAATAAATTCAGGATTATCGATCCCAATCAATCCAGGATAATCAATCCCAATCCATTCAGGATTATCGATCCAAATCAATTCAGGATTATCGATCCAAATCAATCAGGGATTATCAATTCCAATCAATCAGGGATTATCTATCCCAATCAATGATCCAAATCAATTCAGGATAATCGATCCCAATCCATTCAGGATTATCAATACCAATCAATCAGGGATTATCGATCCAAATCAATGATCCAAATCAATTCAGGATTATCGATCCAAATCAATCAGGGATAATTGATCCAAATCAATTCAGGATTATCGATCCCAATGGATTCAGGATTATCGACCCCAATCAATCAGGGATAATCGATCCCAATCAATCAGGGATAATCGATCCCAATCAATTCAGGATTATCGATCCCAATCAATCAGGGATTATTGACCCGAATCAGTTCAGGATTATTGACCCCAATCAATCCAGGATTATCGACCCCAATTAATCAGGTATTATTGACCCCAATTAATCAGGTATTATTGACCCCAATCAATTCAGGATAATCGATCCCAATCAATTCAGGATAATTGATCCCAATCAGTTCAGGATTATTGACCCCAATCAATCCAGGATTATCGATCCCAATCAATTCAGGATTATCGATCCCAATCAATCAGGGATTATCGATCCCAATCAATCCGGGCTTATCGATCCCAATCAATCAGGGATTATCGACCCCAATCAATTCCGGGATTATCAATCCCAATCAATCCGGGATTATCGACCCAAATTTCCGGCCCATCATTGCCCCGCCCCCGGCCCCGCCCCTCACCCGGGGCCATTTTCCCTCCGTCTCCTCAGGGCAGCTCCGGGAGCCGCTGCTGCTGCTGGAGGGGCCGGGGCCGGGCGGGCTCCGCCTGCGCTGCGTCCCGGAGCCGCCTCTGCCGGGGCTGCGGCTGCTCTGGAGCTCCGGGAATAATCCCGGGAATAATTCCGGGAATTCCGGGAATAATTCCGGGAATAATTCCGGGGATATTTCCGGGAATTCCGGGGATATTTCCGGGAATAATTCCGGGATCTCGCTGCTGCTGCCCCGCCCGAGCTCCGGTGCCGCCGGCGCCGTTTGCCGCGCACTGGCTCCGGGATCGGCCGCCGAGTCCGCCGTGGTCATCGCCGGTGAGGGGCTGGAAAACCGGGAATAAAGCGGGGATAAAGCGGGGATAAAGCGGGAATAAAGCGGGAATAAATTGGGAATAAAGCGGGAATAAAGCGGGAATAAAGCGGGAATAAAGAGGGAATAAACCGGGAATGAATCGGGAGTAAAGCGGGAATAAAACGGGAATAAATCGGGAATAAAGCGGGAATAAAGCGGGAATGAATCGGGAATAAAGCGGGAATGAACCGGGAATAAAACCGGGAATAAAGCGGGATAAAGCGGGGATAAAGCGGGAATAAAGCGGGAATAAAGCGGGAATAAAGCGGGAATAAATTGGGAATAAATCGGGAATAAAGCGGGAATAAAGCGGGAATAAAGCGGGAATGAATCGGGAATGAACCGGGAATAAAGCGGGAATAAAGCGGGAATAAATCGGGAATGAATCGGGAATAAAGCGGGAATAAAGCGGGGATAAAGCGGGAATGAAGCGGGAATAAATCGGGAATAAAGCGGGGATAAATTGGGAATAAAGCGGGGATAAAGCGGGAATGAAGCGGGAATGAATTGGGAATGAAGCGGGAATGAAGCGGGAATAAAGCAGGAATGAAGCGGGGATAAATCGGGAATAAAGCGGGAATAAAGCGGGAATGAAGCGGGAATAAAGCGGGGATAAATCGGGAATAAAACGGGAATGAAGCGGGAATGAATCGGGAATGAAGCGGGAATAAAGCGGGAATAAAGCGGGAATTAATCGGGAATAAAGCGGGAATGAATCGGGAATGAATCGGGAATAAATTGGGAATAAAGCGGGAATAAAGCGGGAATAAATCGGGAATAAAGCGGGAATAAAGCGGGAATTAATCAGGAATAAATCGGGAATAAATCGGGAATTCTGCACCCCATGGCAAATCCAGTGGGGTTCGGGGTTTTTTTTGGCATTTTCTGGGGTTTTCTGGGGTTTTTCTTGGGTTTTCTTGGGTTTTTCGGGATTTTCCATGGGGTTTTAAAATTCTCCTGGCATTTCCTGGGGTTTTCTTGGGTTTTCTTTGGTTTTCCGGGGTTCTCTGGGGTTTTCTTGGGTTTTTCGGGATTTTCCATGGGTTTTGAAAATTTTCTGGGGTTTTCCGGGGTTTTCGGGGATTTTTCTTGGATTTTCCAGGGTTTTCTTGGGTTTTCTGGGTTTTCAATGGGTTTTTAAAATTTTCTGGGTTTTTTCTGGGGTTTTTGGGGAATTTTTCTTGGTTTTTCTTGGTTTTTTTTGGGTTTTCTTGGGTTTTCCATGAGTTTTTTAAATTTTCTGGGATTTTCTAGGGTTTTCTTGGGTTTTTCTGGGGTTTTCTGGGATTTTCTGGGATTTTCTTGGGTTTTCTGGGATTTTTCTGGGATTTTTCTGGAGTTTTCTGGGGTTTTCTGGGATTTTCTGGGATTTTCTTGGGTTTTCTGGGATTTTTCTGGGATTTTTCTTGGGTTTTTCTGGGGTTTTCTGGGATTTCCTGGGGTTTTCTTGGGTTTTCTGGGGTTTTCTGGGGTTTTCTGGGGTTTTCAAGGATTTTCCAGGGGTTTTTAAAATTTCCTTGGGTTTTCCAGGGTTTTCTGGGCTTTTCTGGGGTTTTCCGGGATTTTCCATGGATTTTAAAAATTTTTCGGGGTTTTCCGGGATTTTCCATGGGGTTTTAAAATTTTCTGGGATTTTCCGGGGTTTTCTGGGCTTTTTCTGGGGTTTTCTGGGGTTTTCTTGGGTTTTCTTGGGTTTTCAGGGATTTTCCATGGGGTTTTAAAAATTTTCTTGGGTTTTCTTGGATTTTCCATGGGTTTTTAAAATTTCCAGGAGTTTTCTGGGATTTTCTGGGATTTTCTGGGTTTTTCCAGGGTTTTTCTGGGGTTTTCTGTGGGTTCCAGAAGGTCCCAAATTGGCTGGGATGGGAATTCCCAGTTTGGGAATGGGAAATTGGGGAATTCCCAGTTTGGAAATTGAATTCCCAGTTTGGGAATGGGAAATTCCGAATTTCGGGATCCAAACCCCCCAGTTTGGGACAGAATTGCTGGGTTTTGACAGAATTCCAATTTCTTGACAAAATTCCCATTTTTTTTTTGTGCAATTCCCATTTTCTGACGAAATTCGAATTTTTTAGCAAAATTCCCATTTTTAATGGAATTTCCTGGGGTTTTGGCCATAATTCCCATTTTTTACAGAATTCCCATGGGGTTTTTTTTTCTATAATTCCCATTTTTTTAATGAAATTCCCGTGGTTTTCCCCCATAATTCCCATTTTTAACAGAATTTCCCATTTCTTTGCCATAATTCTAATTTTTAACAGAATTTCCCATTTTATTTCCCATCATTCCCATTTTTTAACAGAATTCCTGGATTTTTTGCCATAATTCCCATTTTTTCTCAATAATTCCCATTTTTTCTCAATAATTCCCATTTTTTCTCAATAATTCCCATTTTTTTCCATAATTCCCATTTTTTTTCTCAATAATTCCCATTTTTTCTCAATAATTCCCATTTTATTTTCCATAATTCCCATTTTTTTCCCCATAATCCCCATTTTTTCTCAATAATTCCCATTTTTTCTCAATAATTCCCATTTTCCGGCCATAATTCCCATTTTTTCTCAATATTTCCCATTTTTTTGGCCATAATTCCCATTCTTTTCCATAATTCCCATTTTTTTGCCATATTTCCCATTTTTTCACCATAATTCCCATTTTTTTGCCATAATTCCCATTTTTTCTCCATAATTCCCATTTTTCACCATAATTCCCGTTTTTTTTCACCATAATTCCCATTTTTTCACCATAATTCCCATTTTTTTCCATAATTCCCATTTTTTTTCCATAATTCCCATTTTTTCACCATAATTCCCATTTTTTCACCATAATTCCCATTTTTTTCCATAATTCCCATTTTTTTTCCATAATTCCCATTTTTTCACCATAATTCCCATTTTTTTGCCATAATTCCCATTTTTTTCTCAATAATTCCCATTTTTTCTCAATAATTCCCATTTTTTTTCTCCATAATTCCCATTTTTTCCCCATAATTCCCATTTTTTGACCATAATTCCCATTTTTTTCACCATAATTCCCATTTTTTTCACCATAATTCCCATTTTTTCTCAATAATTCCCATTTTTTCACCATAATTCCCATTTTTTCTCAATATTTCCCATTTTTTCTCAATAATTCCCATTTTTTTGCCATAATTCCCATTTTTTCACCATAATTCCCATTTTTTTTCCATAATTCCCATTTTCCGGCCATAATTCCCATTTTTTCGCCATAATTCCCATTCTTTTCCATAATTCCCATTTTTTCTCAATAATTCCCATTTTTTTGCCATAATTCCCATTTTTTCTCAATAATTCCCATTTTTTTCCATAATTCCCATTTTTTCTCAATAATTCCCATTTTTTCTCAATAATTCCCATTTTTTCTCAATAATTCCCATTTTTTCACCATAATTCCCATTTTTTTTCCATAATTCCCATTTTTTCTCAATATTTCCCTTTTTTTCTCAATAATTCCCATTTTTTCCATAATTCCCATTTTTTTTTCATAATTCCCATTTTTTTTGCCATAATTCCCATTTTTCTTCCATAATTCCCATTTTTTCTCAATAATTCCCATTTTTTCACCACAATTCCCATTTTTTTCCTCAATAATTCCCATTTTTTCTCAATAATTCCCATTTTTTCTCAATAATTCCCATTTTTTGGCCATAATTCCCATTTTTTCACCATAATTCCCATTTTTTTCTCAATAATTCCCATTTTTTCTCCATAATTCCCATTTTTTCTCAATAATTCCCATTTTTTTTTCCATAATTCCCATTTTTTCACAATAATTCCCATTTTTTTGCCATAATTCCCATTTTATTTTCCATAATTCCCATTTTTTTCACCATAATTCCCATTTTTTCTCAATAATTCCCATTTTTTCACCATAATTCCCTTTTTTTTGGCCATAATTCCCATTTTTTTTGCCATAATTCCCATTTTTTTGCCATAATTCCCATTTTTTCGCAATAATTCCCATTTTTTCTCAATAATTCCCATTTTATTTTCCATAATTCCCATTTTTTCACCATAATTCCCATTTTTTCTCAATAATTCCCATTTTTTTCTCAATAATTCCCATTTTTTCTCCATAATTCCCATTTTTTCACCATAATTCCCATTTTTTTCTCAATAATTCCCATTTTTTCTCCATAATTCCCATTTTTTCTCAATAATTCCCATTTTTTCTCAACAATTCCCATTTTTTTTCCATAATTCACATTTTTTCTCAATTATTCCCATTTTTTCTCAACAATTCCCATTTATTTCCCATAATTCCCATTTTTTCACCATAATTCCCATTTTTTGGCCATAATTCCCATTTTTTCGCAGTAATTCCCATTTTTTCTCAATATTTCCCATTTTTTTTCCATAATTCCCATTTTTCACCATAATTCCCATTTATTTCCCATAATTCCCATTTTTTCTCCATAATTCCCATTTTATTTTCCATAATTCCCATTTTTTCTCAATAATTCCCATTTTTTTTTCCATCATCCCCATTTTTCCCCATAATCCCCATTTTTTCTCAACAATTCCCATTTTTTACCCAAAACCCCCATTTTTTTTCCCAGAATTCCCATATTTTTTCCCACAATTCCATTGTTTTTTACCATTTTCCCTTTATTTTCCCCCCAAATTCCCATTTTCCTCCCCAGACCTTTTCTTCCCATCCTCGTCCCCGTGGCTCCCGGCCTTCGTCCTCCTCCTCATCCTCGCCCTGGGCCTGGTTCTGGTCTCCGCCCTTCGGCTGCGCCGTGAGCACCAAAATCCCCCCAAAAATCCCCCAAAAATCCCCCAAAAATCCCCCAAAAATCCCCAAAAAAATCCCCCCAAAAATCCCCCCAAAATCCCCCAAAAATCCCCCCAAAAATCCCCCCAAAATCCCCCAAAAATCCCCAAAAAAATCCCCCAAAAATCCCCCAAAAAATCCCCCAAAAATCCCCCAAAAATCCCCCAAAAATCCCAAAAAAATCCCCCAAAAATCCCCCAAAAAATCCCCCAAAAAATCCCCCAAAAATTCCCCAAAAAATCAAATTGATTGTAATTGATGCATTATTTACTCATTAATAGCCCATTATTAATTAACCCGTTCATTACCAATTAATGGCTCAGAATTTATTCAATAATTACCAAATAATTCCCCATTAATAACCCATTAATTTCCCCATTAATTACCCATTAATTTGCCTTTAATTACCCCAGGTGACCGCCGGATTCTGGCTCAGGAACGTGAGTGCATGAACCAATTAATTCATTAATTATTAATTAATTTCCATGATTTTAAATTAATTTTTCCTGATTTCAATTAATTTTAATTTTAATTTTGATTTTCTTTTAGGAAAGTAAAAATTAATTACAGTATAAAATAAAATAAAATAAAATAAAATAAAATAAAATAAAATAAAATAAAAGTAAATTTGCAATGCAATGAAATGAAATAAAATCGCTGAGATTAAATTAAATTAAATTAAATTAAAAATTATTAATAATGAATTAATTAAAAATTGAATAAAATATGAAATGAAATTAAATGAAATGGATGAGATTAAATTAAATTAAATTAAAATAAAATAAAATAAAAATAATTAATAATAAATTAATTTAAAACATATAATAAAATATGAAATTAAATTAAATGAAATTTAAAAAATGGATGAGATTAAAATTTTAATTTAATTTAATTAATTTAATTAATTTTAAAAAAGAAAATAAAATATGAAATGAAATTAAATGAATCGAATAAAATAAAATTAAAAAAATAAAAATAAAATAAAATAAAATAAAATAAAATAAAATAAAATAAAATAAAATAAAATTAAATTAAATTAAATTAAATTAAATTAAATTAAATTAAATTTAAATTCCAATTTCCTCTCCCGTTCCCAGGGAAATCCCAGCAGGAAATCAGCGAGGGTGAGCTCAGCTCCGGAATTCCCGAAAATTCCCCAAAATTCCCAAAATTCCCAAAAATTCCCGTCCCTAAATCCCCAAATTTCCCGAAATTTTCGTCCCTAAATCCCCAAATTCCCAGAATTCCCGACCCTAAATCTCAAAATTCCCGACCCTAAATCCCCAAAATCCCCAAAATTTCGTCCCTAAAACCCCAAAATTCCCGAAATTCCCGTCCCTAAATCCCCAAAATTCCCGACCCTAAATCGCAAAATTTCAGAAATTTTTGTTCCTAAATCCCCAAATTCCCGGAATTTTTGTTCCTAAATCCCCAAAATTCCCAAAAATTCCCGACCCTAAATCCCAAAATTTTTATCCCTAAATCCCAAATTCTCAGGAATTCCCGACCCTAAATCCCAAAAATTCCCGAAATTTTTGTCCCTAAATCCCAAAAATTCCCGAAATTTTTGTCCCTAAATCCCAAAAATTCCCGAAATTTTTGTTCCTAAATCCCCAAATTCCCGGAGTTCCCGACCCTAAATCCCCAAATCCCCAAAATTCCCGACCCTAATTCCCAAAAATTCCCGGAATTCCCGACCCTAAATCCCCAAATTTTTTGTTCCTAAATCCCCAAAATTCCCGACCCTAAATCGCAAAATTTCAGAAATTTTTGTTCCTAAATCCCCAAATTCCCGGAATTCCCGACCCTAAATCCCAAAATTTTCGTTCCTAAATCCCCAAATTCCCCAAAATTCCCGTCCCTAAATCCCCGAATTCCCGACCCTAAATCTCAAAATTTTCGTTCCTAAATCCCCAAATTCCCGATATTCCCGTCCCTAAATCCCCAAATTCCCGGAGTTCCCCACCCGAAATCCCAAAAATTCCCGAAATTTTTGTCCCTAAATCCCCAAATTCCCCAAAATTCCCGTCCCTAAATCCCCAAATTCCCGACCCTAAATCCCAAAATTTTCCTTCCTAAATTCCAAATTCTCAGGAATTCCCGAAATTTTTGTTCCTAAATCCCCAAATCCCCCAAATTTTTGTCCCTAAATCCCCAAAATCTTGGAATTCCCGACCCTAAATCCCCAAATTCCCGAAATTCCCGACCCTAAATCCCAAAAATTCCCAAAATTTTCGTTCCTAAATCCCCAAATTCCCAAAAATTTCCGACCCTAAATCCCGAAAATTCCCGAAATTTTCGTCCCTAAATCCCCAAAATCCTCAAAATTTTCGTCCCTAAATCCCCAAAATTCCCAAAAATTCCCGACCCTAAATCCCCAAATTCCCCTAAATTCCCGACCCTAAATCCCCAAATTTTCGTTCCTAAATCCCCAAATTCCCAAAAATTCCCGTTCCTAAATCCCCAAAATCCCCAAAATTTTCGTTCCTAAATCCCCAAAATCTTGGAATTCCCGTCCCTAAATCCCCAAATTCCCGAAATTTTTGTCCCTAAATCCCCAAATTCCAAAAATTCCCTACCCTAAATCCCCAAATTCCCGAAATCTTTGTCCCTAAATCCCCGAAATTCCCAAAATTTTCGTTCCTAAATCCCGAAATACCCAAAAATTCCCGACCTTAAATCCCGAAATTCCCCAATATTCCCGACCCTAAATCCCCAAATTCCTCAAAATTTTTGTCCCTAAATCCCCAAAACCTTTGAATTCCCGACCCTAAATCCCCAAAATTCCCGAAATTTTTGTCCCTAAATCCCCAAAATTCCCAAAAATTCCCGACCCTAAATCCCCAAATTCCCGGAGTTCCCGACCCTAAATCCCAAAAATTCCCAAAATTTTCGTTCCTAAATCCCAAAAATCCCGAAATTCCTGACCCTAAATCCCCAAAATTCCCGACCCTAAATCCCCAAAATTCCCAAAATTTTTGTTCCTAAATCCCCAAATTCCCGAAATTTTCGTGCCCAAATCCCCAAAATCCCCAAAATTCCCGACCCTAAATCCCAAAATTTTCGTCCCTAAATCCCCAAATTCTCAGGATTTCCCGACCCGAAATCCCAAAAATTCCCGAAAATTTTGTCCCTAAATCCCCAAAATTCCCGACCCTAAATCGCAAAATTTCAGAAATTTTTGTTCCTAAATCCCCAAAGTCCTGAAATTCCCGACCCTAAATCCCAAAATTTTCGTTCCTAAATCCCAAATTCTCAGGAATTCCTGAAATTTTTGTTCCTAAATCCCCAAATTCTCGGAATTTTTGTTCCTAAATCCCCCAAATTCCCAAAATTCCCGTTCCTAAATCCCCAAATTCCCATCCCAAAATCCCCGAATTCCCCAAAATTTCCGACCCTAAATCCCCAAATTCCCAAAATTTTCGTTCCTAAATCCCAAATTCTCAGGAATTCCCGAAATTTTTGTTCCTAAATCCCCAAATTCCCGACCCTAAATCCCCAAATCCCGGAAATTCCCCACCCTAAATCCCCAAATTCCCATCCCAAAATCCCCGAATTCCCCAAAATTTTCGTTCCTAAATCCCCAAATTCCCAAAAATTCCGGATCCTAAATCCCCGAATTTCCCGAAATTCCCGACCCTAAATCCCCAAATTCCCGAAATTCCTGTTCCTAAATCCCCAAAATTCCCAAAATTTCGGTTCCTAAATCCCCAAATTCCCAAAATTTCGGTTCCTAAATCCCCAAATCCCGGCAGAGATGGAGGAGCTGAGGATGGAGCTGGGTAAGAGCCGCACTCATTCATTAATTAATTAATAGCCGCTAATTAATTCTTATTAGTACTTAATTAGCCGCTAATTAATTATTACTAGTACTTAATTAGCCGCTAATTAATTATTATTAGCATTTAATAGCCGCTAATTAATTATTATTAGCATTAAATTAGTCGCTAATTTATTATTATTAGGATTTAATAACCGCTAATTAATTATTATTAGCATTTAATAGCCACTAATTAATTATTATTAACATTAAATAGCCGCTAATTAATTCTTATTAGCATTTATTAGTCGCTAATTAATTATTAGCATTTAATAGCCGCTAATAAATTATTATTAGCAATTAATTAGCCGCTAATTATTTATTATTACGATTTAATTAGTCGCTAATTAATTATTATTAGCATTTAATAGCCGCTAATTAATTATTATTAGCATTTATTAGCCGCTAATTAATTATTATCAGTATTTAATAGCCGCTAATTAATTATTGTTAGGAGTCAATTAGCCGCTAATTAATTATTATTAGTAATTAATTACCTGCTAATTAATTATTATTAGCATTTAATTAGCCGCTAATGAATTACCAGGTTTTATTTACCCGATCATTAATTATTATTAGCATTTAATTAGTTATTAGCGCCTAATTAATAATTTATTAGCCTGTAATGAGCGCTCTATTAGCCTCTAATTAGCTCATTAATCAACAGAGATTAATGATTTATTAGACGTTGATTAATTAGCTAAATAATGATTGATTAGGCATCAATTAATTAATGATTGATTAGGCTTGGATCAATTAATTATTCATTAGATATTGATTATTTATTAGACATTAATTATGTTATTAATAATATTCTTAGATTAATTATTATGTTATAATTAACATAATTAATCTAAGAATATTAAACTTAGATTAATATAAAAATTTATTTTTATTAATTATTATTAATTAAGGGATTATAGTGATATCTTAATGATAATTAATAAATAAATAATAATTATTATGTTAATTATAATTACATAATTATTAATAGCATAATAATGAGTAATAATTAAATAATTGGGTGATGAATATAATTTATTAATTAATAGTAATGGATTATTAATGATTATAAAAGTAAGTGTAGAAATATTATAAGAATACATTTAAAATTAATTAATTAATTTAAATTAATTAAATTTAAAAATAATAAAAATAAATAAATAAATGAATTATTAATAATTCATTATTATAAATAATTAATATTACAATAATTATTATAATTGATATTATTATTATTATTATTATTAATATTAATGAATAACTTGTCCTGCATTAATTAATGATTAATTTCCAATTAATAATTAATATTACATTATTATTATTATTATTATTATTATTATTATTATTATTATTATTATTATTATTATTATTATTATTATTATTATTATTATTATTATTATTACTGATGAATAATTTGTCCAGCATTAATTAATGATTAATTTCCAATTAATAATTTCCATTTTTGGTTCTTTCAGAGGAGGTGACGGAGAAACTCCAGAGGGGTAAAAATTGAGATTTCTGCTCATTAATTCTCTAATTATTAATTATTAATTAATTAATTCAATTATTAATTAATTAATTCGATTATTAATTAATAATTCAATTATTAATTAATTATCCGAGGGATAATTCAGGGGTTTTCTTTGAAAAGGGACACAAAAAAGGGAAAATTCCAATTAAAAATTAATTATTAATCAATTTATTAATATTAATATTAGACTATTCATTAATTATCATTAATTAATAATTATTTTAACTTTCTAAGAAAAAATTAATTTATTAATAATTGTAATTTTCTCTTAATCAGTCAATAATAATAAAATTATTATTTTAATATTATAGATATTAAATTTTATTAAATAATTAAAATAATAATATAAATTATATTAATAGTTATTAATTTAGAATACAATAATTTTTAATAATTATTAATAGTAACAAATTATTCATTAGTAATTATTAATTTTGAACAATTATTTTGAGTTTTCTAATTAAAACTAATGATAAAATAATAATTATTAATAATTTATAATAAAATTGTAAAATAATAAATTAATAATGAAAAATTAATTAATGATTATTAATCTCTAATAAAATTTAAGTTCCTAAAGATGAAATAATATTAATACAATAATCATTAATATTAATTTCTAATAAAATTAATTTAATAATAGTAACTTAATTATATTAAAATATTAATTTATAGTTCTTAATTTCTAATAATTTAATTTATCATAATAAATAAATAATAATGAATTATTCATTAATAATTATTAATTGCTAATTAGAAATTCCATTTTCTGGTAGCAAATTAATAATCACAATTTATTAATTAATAACTTTTCATTTCTAACAATAAATTAAATTATCTTATAGTTAATTAATATTAGTAATTAATAATGATTATTTTTAACAATAATTGTTCTAATAATTCAATATTTTTATAAACAATAGTTATTAATTATTCATTTTTAATAACATTTACATTTTCTAATGATTAATTAATAATTATGCCACATTTATTAGCAATTATTAATTTCTAATAATTAATAAATAATTTAATTAAAATCCCCAAATTCCCCAATTTCCTTTTCTGCCCCCACAGAGAAACTGGAGATGGAGGCGAGGCTGGGTGAGGCTCTAATTAATGAGGGATTAATTAATGAGTGATTAATTAATGAGTGATTAGCCAGTGATTAATTAATGAGTGATTAGCCAGTGATTAATTAATTAATTAGTAGCCAGTAATTAATGATTGATTAGACAGGGACCAATGAATGAGTTATTAGCCAATGATTAATTAAGGAGTTAGTAGCCGGTGATTAATTAATGAGTTATTAGCCAGGGATTAATTAATGAGTTAGTAGCCAGTGATTAATTAATTAGTAGCCAGTAATTAATTAATGATTGATTAGACAGGGACCAATGAATGAGTTATTAGCCATTGATTAATTAATTACTTATTAGCCATTGACTAATTAATGATTAATTAGACAGGGACCAAATAATTATTGATTAGGCATTGACTAATTAATGAGTTATTAGCCATTGATTGATTAATGATTAATTAGACAGAGACCAATGAATGATTGATTAGGCATAGGCTAATTTTTGCTTAATTAGAGACTAATTAATTATTGATTAGGCATTGACTAATTAATGATTTATTAGACAGGGACCAAATAATTATTGATTAGCCATTGGCTAATTAATGATTTATTAGAGGCTAATTAATGATTGATTAGCCATTGACTAATTAATGATTGATTAGAGAGGGACTCATTAATTATTGATTAGAGACTAATTAATGATTGATTAGACGTTAGCTAATTAACGATTGATTAAACGCAGCCCAAGCAATGATTGATTAGGCATTGACTGATTAATGATTGATCAGAGACTAATTCATGATTGATTAGACATTGGCTAATTAATTGATTAAACACAGACCAATTAATGATTGATTAGGCGGAGGCTAATTAATGATTGATTAGCCAGGGACCAAATAATTATTGATTAGGCATTGACTAATTAATGACTGATTAGAGACTAATTAATGATTGATTAGACAGGGACCAATCAATGATTGATTATAAACTAAATAATGGCTTATTAGCCATTGAGTAATTAATGATTGATTAGAGACTAATTAATGATTGATTAGACAGGGAGTAATTACGGATTGATTAGACTGGGACTCATTAATGATTGATTAGAGACTAATAATGAGTTATTAGCCATTGACTAATTAATGATTGATTAGACAGGGACCAATTAATGGCTGATTTGACAGGGACTCATTAATGGCTGATTAGAGACTAATTAATGATTAGACTTTGACTAATTAATGACTGATTAGACAGGGACCAATAAATGATTGATAATAGACTAATTAATGAGTTATTAGTCATTGATTGATTAATGATTACTTAGACAGGGACTCATTAATGATTGATTAGACAGGGACTAATTAATGATTGATTAGCCATTGACTAATTAATGATTAATTAGACAGGGACCAATCAACGATTGATTAGGCATAGGCTAATTAATAATTGATTAGAGACTAATTAATGAGTTATTAGCCATTGATTGATTAATGATTAATAAGACAGGGACCAATTAATGATTGATTAGATAAGGACTCATTAATGATTGATTATAGACTAATTAATGAGTTATTAGCCATTAACTAATTAATGATTGATTAGACAGGGACCAATTAACGAGTTATTAGCCATTGATTAATTAATGACTGATTAGAGACTAATTAATGATTGATTAGACAGGGACCAATTAATGACTGATTAGACAAGAACTCATTTATGATTGATTATAGACTAATTAATGATTGATTAGGCATTGACTCACTAATGATTGATTAGATATTAATTAACAGTTGATTAAACACAGACCAATTAATGATTGATTAGGCATTGACTAATTAGTGACTGATTAGACAGGGAGTAATTAACGATTGATTAAACACAGACCAATTAATGAGTTTTTAGCCATTGACTAATTAATGACTGATTAGACAGGGACCAATTAATGAGTTTTTAGCCATTGACCAATTAATGACTGATTAGAGACTAATTAATGAGTTATTAGCCTGTGACTAATTAATGACTGATTAGACAGGGACCAATTAATGAGTTATTAGCCATTGACTAATTAATGACTGATTAGAGACTAATTAATGATTGATTAGACAGGGACCAATTAATGACTGATTAGACAAGGACTCATTAATGATTGATTATAGACTAATTAATGAGTTATTAGCCATTGATTGAGTAATGATTGATTAGGCATTGACTCATTAAAGATTGATTAGAGACTAATTAATGATTTATTTGACAGGGATCAATCAATGATTGATTAGACATTGACTAATTAATGACTGATTAGACAGAGTGTAATCAGGTGTCCCCATTGTCCCTCAGGTGTCCCCAGGTGTCCCCATTGTCCCCCAGGTGTCCCTCAGCTGTCCCCCGGTGTCCCCAGGTGTGTCCCCATTGTCCCCAGGTGTCCCCATTGTCCCTCAGGTGTCCCCATTGTCCCCAGGTGTCCCCATTGTCCCCAGGTCTCTCAGGTGTCCCCTCAGGTGTCCCCAGCTGTCCCCCCAGGTGTCCCAGCTGTCCCCAGCTGTCCTCAGGTGTCCCCAGCTGTCCCAGGTGTCCCCAGGTGTCCCCAGGTGTCCCCAGGTGTCCCTCAGCTGTCCCCATTGTCCCTCAGGTGTCCCCATTGTCCCCAGGTGTCCCCATTGTCCCCCCAGGTGTCCCCAGGTGTCCCAGGTATCCCTCAGGTGTCCCCAGGTGTCCCAGGTATCCCTCAGGTGTCCCCAGGTGTCCCCCAGGTGTCCCCCCAGGTGTCCCCAGGTGTCCCAGGTATCCCTCAGGTGTCCCCAGGTGTCCCCCAGGTGTCCCCCCAGGTGTCCCCAGGTGTCCCAGGTATCCCTCAGGTGTCCCCAGGTGTCCCCCAGGTGTCCCCTCAGGTGTCCCCAGGTGTCCCACGTATCCCTCAGGTGTCTCAGGTGTCCCCTCAGCTGTCCCCAGGTGTGTCCCTCAGGTGTCCCCAGTTGTCCTCAGGTGTCCCAGGTATCCCCCAGGTGTCCCAGGTGTCCCCATCTTCCCTCAGGTGTCCCCAGGTGTCCCCAGGTGTCCCAGGTGTGTCCCCATTGTCCCTCAGGTGTCCCCAGGTGTCCCCAGCTGTCCCAGCTGTCCCCAGCTGTCCCCAGGTGTCCCTCAGGTGTCCCAGGTGTGTCCCCATTGTCCCCAGCTGTCCCCAGGTGTGTCCCCATTGTCCCCAGGTGTCCCCTCAGGTGTCCCCAGGTGTCCCCATTGTCCCCATTGTCCCCATTGTCCCCAGGTGTGTCCCCAGGTGTCCCCAAGCCCCCCCCAGGTGTCCCCATTGTCCCCAGCTGTCCCTCAGGTGTCCCCTCAGGTGTCCCCATTGTCCCCTCAGGTGTCCCCAGGTGTCCCCTCAGGTGTCCCAGGTGTCCCCAGCTGTCCCCAGGTGTCCCTCACGTGTCCCAGGTGTCCCCATTGTCCCCATTGTCCCCAGGTGTCCCCAGGTGTCCCCATTGTCCCCAGCTGTCCCCAGGTGTCCCCAGGTGTCCCCAGGTGTCCCTCAGGTGTCCCCAGGTGTCCCCATTGTCCCCAGGTGTCCCCAGCTGTCCCCATTGTCCCCAGTTGTCCCCATTGTCCCCCAGGTGTCCCCAGGTGTCCCCATTGTCCCCATTGTCCCCCCAGGTGTCCCCATTGTCCCCTCAGGTGTCCCCCCCTCACTGTCTCCGTTCATTTCTCGTTCCAGGGCAGATCCAGGCCCAGCTCGGTGAGCGCTTCCGGCCCTATGCAAATGAGCTGCCCTTCATGAGCTAATTACGGCTCATTAGTGCTAATTAATTAGTGCTAATTAGTGCTAATTAGCGCTAATTGGCGCTAATTAATTGGCGCTAATTGGCGCCGCTGCTTTCCCACAGATTTCCGACGGGCTCAGAGCCACGCAGGTGAGTCCGGCCCCGATCTTCATCTTCTTCTTCTTCCTCTTCCTCTTCCTCCTCCTCTTCCTCTTCTTCCTCTTCCTTGTCCTCTTCCTCTTCCTCCTCTTCCTCTTCCTCTTCCTCTTCCTCTTCCTCTTCCTCTTCCTCCTCGTCTTCCTCTTCCTCTTCCCTTTCCCCTTCCCGTTCCTCATCCTCCTCCTCTTCCTCTTCTTCCTCGTCCTCTTCCTGTTCCCATTTATCTTCCTCTTCCTCTTCCTCTTCCTCTTCCTCTTCCTCTTCCTCTTTTTCATCCTCTTCCCTCTTCCTCACCCTCCTCCTTTTTGCCTTCCTCTTCCTCATCCTCTTCCTCATCCTTTTTCTCTTCCTGTTCCCATTCCTCTTCTTCATCCTCTTCCTCATCCCATTCCCGTTCCTCTTCCTCCTCCTCGTCCTCGTCATCTTCCCCTTCCTCTTCCTGTTCATGTTCCCATTCCTGTTCCTGGTCCTTTTCCTCTTCCTCTTCCTCCTCCTCCTCTTCCCTTTTCCGTTCCTCTTCCTCTTCCTCCTCCTCTTCCTCCTTTTCCTTGTCCTCTTCCTGGTCCCCATCCTCATCCTCTTCCTGTTCCCAGTCCTCTTCCTCTTTCTCTTCTTCCTCTTCCTCTTCCTCTTCCTCTTCCTCTTCCTCTTCCTCTTCCTCTTCCTCTTCCTCTTCCTCTTCCTCTTCTTCCTCTTCCTCTTCCTCTTCCTCTTCCCTTTCCCCTTCCACTTCCTCATCCTCTTCTTCCTCTTCCTCGTCCTCTTCCTGTTCCCATTTATCTTCCTCATCCTCTTCCTCTTCCCCTTTCTCATCCTCTTTTTCATCCTCTTCCTCTTCTTCACCCTCCTCCTTTTTGCCTTCCTCTTCCTCCTCCTCCTCCTCCACTTCCTCTTCCTCATCCTCTTCCTCATCCTTTTTCTCTTCCTGTTCCCATTCCTCTTCTTCATCCTCTTCCTCATCCCATTCCCGTTCCTCTTCCTCTTCCCCTTTCTCATCCCGTTCCTCTTCCTCCTCGTCATCCTCCTCTTCCTCTTCCTCATCCTCTTCCTGTTCCTATTCACGTTCCTGTTCCTCTTCTTCTTTCTCTTCCTCCTCCTCCTCTTCCCCTTCCCCTTCCTCTTCCCTTTCCCCTTCCCCTTCCTCATCCTCTTCCTCCTCTTCCTCCTCTTCCTTGTCCTCTTCCTCTTCCCCCTTTTCATCCTCTTCCTCTTCCTTTTCCTCTTCCTCACCCTCCTCCTTTTTGCCTTCTCCTTCCTCTTCCTCATCCTTTTTCTCTTCCTGTTCCCATTCCTCTTCTTCATCCTCTTCCTCATCCCCTTTCTCATCCCGTTCCTCTTCCTCCTCCTCGTCATCCTCCTCTTCCTCTTCCTCATCCTCTTCCTGTTCCTATTCACGTTCCCGTTCCTGGTCCTCTTCCTCTTCCTCCTCCTCTTCCTCCTTTTCCTTGTCCTCTTCCTGGTCCCCATCCTCATCCTCTTCCCATTTATCTTCCTCTTCCTCTTCCTCATCCTGTTCTCCTTCCCATTCCTCTTCCTCTTCCCCTTCCTCATCCTCTTCCTTTTCCTCCTTTTTGCCTTCCCCTTCCTCTTCCTCTTCCTCATCCTCTTCCTGTTCCCAGTCCTCTTCCTCTTTCTCTTCTTCCTGTTCCTCATCCTCATCCTTTTTCTCTTCCTGTTCCCATTCCTCTTCTTCACCCTCTTCCCCTTTCTCATCCCATTCCTCTTCCTTGTCCTCATCATCTTCCTCTTCCTCATCCTCATCCTCTTCCTGTTCCTATTCACGTTCCCATTCCTGATCCTCTTCCTCTTCCTCTTTCCTTCTCCCCATCTCCTTTTCTCATTCCCCTTTTCATTTCCTTTTCATTTTTATTTCCTTTCCCTTTTCCCCTTTTCCCTTTTTCTCCTTTTTCCTTTCCCTTCTCCTCCCAAACAGAATCAAACAAAATGACACAATATCAAACGATATCAAACGATATCAAATGATATCAAATGATATCACATGATATCAAATAATATCAAATTATATCACACTATATCCCATGATATCCCACGCTATCAAATGATATTAAACCTTATCAAACCTTATCAAACCCTATCAAACCATATTAAACCCTATCAAATGCTATCAAACCCGACCAAACCCTATCAAACCCTATCAAACCATATTAAGCCCTATCAAACCTTATCAAACGCTATCAAACCCCTATCAAACCCTATCAAATGCTATCAAACCCTAACAAAACCCTATCAAACTCTATCAAACCCTATCAAACCCTATCAAAACCCTATCAAACCCTATCAAATGCTATCAAAAGCTATCAAACCCCTATCAAACCCTATCAAATCCTATCAAACACTATCAAATGCTATCAAACCCCTATCAAACCCTATCAAACTCTATCAAACGCTATCAAATGCTATCAAACCCCTATCAAACCCCTATCAAACCCTATCAAACCTTTATCAAACCCCTATCAAACCCTATAAAATGCTATCAAACCTTATCAAACCCTATCAAAAGCTATCAAACCTTATTAAACCCTATCAAACCCCTATCAAATGTTATCAAACCCTACCAAACCCTATCAAACCCCTATCAAACCTTATCAAATGCTATCAAACCCTCTCAAACCTGACCAAACCCTATCAAATGCTATCAAACCCTATCAAACCATATTAAACCCTATCAAACTCTATCAAATGCTATCAAACCACTCTATCAAATGCTATCAAACCCTATCAAAACCCCTATCAAACGCTATTAAAAGCTATCAAACCTTATCAAACCCTATCAAACCCTATCAAAACCCTATCAATCCCTATCAAATGCTATCAAACTCCTATAAAACCTATCAAAATCCCATCAAACCCTATCAAAAACCTACCAAACCCTATCAAACACTATCAAACCCCTATCAAACCCTATCAAACCCCTATCAAACCATATCAAACCTATATCAAACCCTATCAAACCCCTATCAAACCCCTATCAAACCCTCTCAAACCCCTATAAAATGTTATCAAACCCTTATCAAACCCTATCAAACCCTATCAAACCCTATCAAACCCAACCAAACTCTATCAAACGCTATCAAACGCTATCAAACCCTATCAAAAACCTACCAAACCTTATCAAACCCTTATCAAGCCCTATCAAACCCTATCAAACGCCCCCCTCCACTCTTTCCCAGTCTCGCTGACGCTGGACGAGAGCTGCACCCACCCGGCCCTGCTGATCCGGGGCCGATCCCGAATCCTCGGCCCCGATCCCGGATCCCGAATCCCCGGCCCCGGATCCCGGCCCCTGGCCGTGGCTCGGGAGGGATTTTCCTGCGGGAAGCACTACTGGGAAGTGGAGCTGGGAGACAGCAGCGACTGGGAAGTGGGCGTGCTCCGGGATTCCGTCCGCGATTCCATCCGGGATTCCATCCGGGATTCCCTGAGGGATCCAGTCTGGGATTCCCTGAGGGATCCAATCCGGGATTCCCTGAGGAATTCCCTGAGGGATCCAATCCAGGATCCAATCCGGGATCCAATCCAGGATTCCCTGAGGAATCCAGTCCAGGATTCCCTGAGGGATCCAACCCAGGATTCCATTCAGGATTCCACCCCAAATTCCATCCCGGATCCCGTCCCCGGTTCCCTGCGGGTTCCCATTGCAGATTCCATTCCGAATTCCATCCTGAATTCCATCCCAGATCCCACCCCAAATTCCATCCTTAATTCCATCCCGGATCCCATCCCAAATTCCATCTGGGATTCCATCCCAAATCCCACCCCAGATCCCATCCCAGATCCTATCCCAGATCCCACTCCCGATTCCCTGAGGGTTCCCACCCCGGATCCCATCCCGGATCCCACCGCAGATTCCCTGAGGGTTCCCATCCCAGATCCCATCCCAAATTCCCTGCAGGTTCCCATCCCAGATCCCATCCCAGATCCCATCCCGAATTCCCTGAGGGATCCCACCCCGGATCCCACCCCAGATTCCCTGAGGGTTCCCACCCTGGATCCCACCCCGGATCCCATCCCGGATCCCATCCTGAATTCCCTGAGGGATCCCATCCCAGATTCCCTGAGGGTTCCCATCCCGAATCCTACCCCAGATCCCACCCCAGATCCCATCCCAGATTCCCTGAATCCCACCCCAGATCCCACCCCGGATCCCATCCCAGATCCCACCCCAGATCCCACCCTGGATCCTATCCCAGATCCCACTCCTGATTCCCTGAGGGTTCCCATCCCAGATCCCATCCCCGATCCCGCTCCCCATTCCCTGAGGGTTCCCATCCCAGATCCCACCCCGGATCCCACCCCGGATCCCATCCCAGATCCCATCCCAGATTCCCTGAATCCCACCCCAGATCCCACCCCGGATCCCATCCCAGATCCCACCCCAGATTCCCTGAATCCCACCCCAGATCCCATCCCAGGTTCCCTGAATCCCACCCCAAGTCCCATCCCAGATTCCCTGAATCCCACCCCAGATCCCACCCTGGATCCCACCCCGGATCCCATCCCAGATCCCATCCCAGATTCCCTGAATCCCACCCCAGATCCCATCCCCGATCCCACCCCAGATCCCACCCCAGATTCCCTGAATCCCATCCCAGATCCCATCCCAGATTCCCTGAATCCCACCCCAGATCCCATCCCCGATCCCACCCCAGATCCCACCCCAGATTCCCTGAATCCCACCCCAGATCCCATCCCAGATTCCCTGAATCCCACCCCAGATCCCACCCCGGATCCCATCCCAGATCCCACCCCAGATTCCCTGAATCCCACCCCAGATCCCACCCCAGATTCCCTGAATCCCACCCCAGATCCCACCCCGGCTCCCAGCCCGGCTCCCCTGTGGGGCGATTCCCTGCTGTCCCTCCCCGAGGGAGCGGCCGCAGCCCTGGGTTATTCCGGGGGTGAGTTCCGGCTGCGGGCCGGGCGCCTGGAGCGGCGCCGCGGGCGCTGCCGCGTGCTGGGCCTGCTGCTGGACCACGAGCGGCGCCTGCTGCAGTTCTTCGACGCCGAGGAGAAGCAGCTGCTGGGATCCACCCCCCTGAGGATCCCCGGGATTCTCTTCCCCTTCTTCAGGCCGGGATCTGGCGGGAACGGGCTGGGGATCCGCCCCGTGAGGGCTTGAAACAGAGCTGGGGAATGTTCGTGGTTAAAAATGAAATTTAGACTTGTGTATTCAAATTATTCTCGTTTTAAAATTCCAATTATACCCTAGAACAAAGCCTTTGAAATGTTTGCATATGAAAATGAAATTCGCTGTTAAATATTCCAATAATTCTCCATTAGTTATTTCAAATATTCACTGGTGCTGAGCCTAACACAAACCCAAAACCCAACCCTAACCCTGACATTTATATATTCAAATTATTCTCATTTTAAAATTCCACTTATACCCTAGGCCAAAACGTTTGAAATATTCACATTTAAAAATTAAATTCCCTGATAAATATTCAAATAATTCTCATTTTATTATTTCAAATATTCACTGACACTCACCCCAAGCCTAAACCTAACTCTAACCCTAATCCTTACCCAAAACCAAATTAGAATTTAAAGTTTCAAATGATTCCTATTTTAATGTTACAATTATAACCAAAACCTGACCTTAATCCTAACCCTGACATTTACATATTCAAATTATTCCCATTTTAGAATTCCAGTTATACCCTAGGCCAAACCCTTTGAAATATTCACATTTAAAAATTAAATCCCTGTTAAATATACAAATTATTCTCGTTTTAATATTCCAAATATTTTCAAACCGTAACCGTGTCCTTAACCCTAACCCAAATTCCAATATGAATATTCAAATTATTCGCATTTAATATTCCAATTATCCCCTAACCCTGACCCCGATCCCAACCAAAACCCTAACCCTAAACCTAACCCAAATTAATATTTAAATATTCAAATTATTTGCATTTTCATATTCCAAATATTCCCTAACCCTCACCCTCACCCTATTTGCTTGAAAAAATAATTTTAAAATTATGATATAAAATATAATATTACATTAAAATATTATAAAAAATGAAAAATTTCAATTCTTCTCATTTAAATATACCAATTAGCACCTCACCCTAGGCGACAGCGAGGGGGATGGACATGGAGACACCCAGCAGGAGAGGAGGAATCGAGAGGAAAATCCAAATTTGTGGGTGGGAAACATGAGGGGAGAATAGGGCAGAAAAAGTGGGGTAAAAAATGGGAAAGATAAAGGAAAAAGGGTGGGAAATGTGAGGGGGGAAATGTAAGGGGAGAAAATGGTGGAAAATGGGAGAAAATGGGGGGAAATGTGAGGGGAGAAAATGGTGGGAAACGTGAGGGGAGAAAATGGTGGGAAATGGTAGAAAATGGGGGGAAATGTGAGGGGAGAAAATGGGAAATGTGAGGGGGAAAAGAGCAGAAAAGGTGAGGTAAAAATGAGAAAGATAAGGGAAAAAAGGTGAGAAATGTGAGGGGAGAAAATGGTGGGAAATGGGAGAAAATGGGGGGAAATGTGAGGGGAGAAAATGGTGGAAAATGTGAGGGGAGAAAATGGTGGAAAATGTGAGGGGGAAAAGAGCAGAAAATCTGAGTTAAAAAATGAGAAAGATAAGGGGAAAAAGGGTGAGAAATGTGAGGGGAGAAAATGGAGGGAAATGTGAGGGGAGAAAATGTTGGGAAATGTGAGGGGAGAAAATGTTGGGAAATGTGAGGGGAGAAAATGGAGGAAAATGCAAGGGGAGAAAATGGGGGGAAATGTGAGGGGAGAAAATGGGGGAAAATGTGAGGGGGGAAAATGGGAAATGTGAGGGGAGAAAATGGGAAATGCGAGGGGTGAAAATGGTGGGAAAATGTGAGGGGGGAAAATGGTGGAAAATGTGAGGGGAGAAAATGGTGGGAAATGTGAGGGGAGAAAATGGGGGGAAATGTGAGGGGAGAAAATGGTGGAAAATGTGAGGGGAGAAAATGGTGGGAAATGTGAGGGGGAAAAGAGTAGAAAAGGTGAGGTAAAAAAAGGGAAAGATAAGGGAAAAAGGGTGAGAAATGTGAGGAGAGAAAATGGTGGAAAATGTGAGGGGAGAAAATGGGAAATGTGAGGGGTGAAAATGGAGGGAAATGTGAGGGGAGAAAATGGTGGAAAATGTGAGGGGAGAAAATGGTGGGAAATGTGAGGGGAAAAAGAGCAGAAAAGGTGAGGTAAAAAATGAGAAAGATAAGGGGAAAAAGGGTGAGAAATGTGAGGGGAGAAAATGGGGGGAAATGTGAGGGGAGAAAATGGGGGGAAATGTGAGGGGAGAAAATGGGGGAAAATGTGCGGGGAGAAAATGGTGGAAAATGTGAGGGGAGAAAATGGTGGGAAATGGGAGAAAATGGGGGGAAATGTGAGGGGAGAAAATGGCGGAAAACGTGAGGAGAGAAAATGGTGGGAAATGTGAGGGGAGAAAATGGTGGGAAACGTGAGGGGAGAAAATGGGGGGAAATGTGAGGGGAGAAAATGGGGGGAAATGTGAGGGGAGAAAATGGAGGTAAACATGAGGGGGAAAAGAGCAGAAAAAGTGAGGTAAAAAATGGGAAAGATAAGGGAAAAAGGGTGAGAAATGTGAGGGGAGAAAATGGTGGAAAATGTGAGGGGAGAAAATGGTGGGAAATGTGAGGGGAGAAAATGGGAAATGTGAGGGGAGAAAATGGTGGGAAATGTGAGGGGAGAAAATGGTGGGAAATGTGAGGGGAGAAAATGGAGGTAAACATGAGGGGGAAAAGAGCAGAAAAAGTGAGGTAAAAAATGGGAAAGATAAGGGAAAAAGGGTGGGAAATGTGAGGGAAGAAAATGGGGGGAAATGTGAGGGGGTAAAATGATGGAAAATGTGAGGGGAGAAAATGATGGAAAATGTGAGGGGGAAAAGAGCAGAAAAGGTGAGGTAAAAATGGGAAAGATAAGGGGAAAAAGGGTGAGAAATGTGAGGGGAGAAAATGGTGGGAAATGTGAGGAGAAAAAATGGTGGAAAATGTGAGGGGAGAAAATGGTGGAAAATGTGAGGGGAGAAAAGAGCAGGAAACATGAAGGAAAAAGGGCGGAAATCATAAGGTAAGAAAATGGGAAACATGAGGGGGAAAGGCCAGAAAACGTGAGGTAAAAAAAGAGAAATAAGAGGGTGAAAATGGTGGGAAGCATGAGGGGAGAAAATGCTGGGAATAATGAGGGGGGAAAAAAGGTGGGAAATCTGAGGTAAAAAAGGGGAAATAAGAGGCTGAAAATGGCAGGAAACATAAAGGGGAGAAAATGTTGGGAAATGTGAGGAGGAAAGAAGGTGGAGATTATGAGGTAAAAAATGGGAAACGTGAGGGGGAAAATGTCAGGAAACGTGAGGGGGGAAAGGCCAGAAAACGTGAGGTAAAAATGGGAAATAAGAGAGTGAAAATGGCGGGAAGTATGAGGGGAGAAAATGCTGGGAAATGTGAGGGGGAAAGAAGGTGGAGATTATGAGGTAAAAAATGGGAAACGTGAGGGGGAAAATATCAGGAAACGTGAGGGGGGAACAGGGCGGGAAACATGAGGGGGCAGAAGGCCAGAATTTTAGTTTTTTTCTCTAAAATCTCGTGTTCCTCCCTAAACCCTCGGGTTTTCCCCAAAATCTTGTGTTTCTCCCTAAAACGTCGGGTTTCTCTCTAAAACCGCGAGATTTGCCCCCGAAACCTCGTGTTTTTCCTTAAAACCTCGGGTTTCTCCCAAAAACATCGGGTTTCTCCCTAAAATATCAGGTTTTCTCCCGATATCCTCTGGTTTTTCCCTAAAACCTCCTTTTTTTTAAATTTTTTTCCCAGAATCTCTTCCCCCCCCCCCTCCCAAAACCTCGGGTTTCTCCCTAAACCTTTTTTTTTCCCCTCAACAACCGCTCGATTTTTCTCTACAACCTCAAGTTTTTTCCCCAAATCCTTGGGCTTTTCCCGAAAATCACGAAGTTTCTCCCCAAATCCTCGGGTTTCTCCCCAAACCCCCTCGATTTTGCCCCAAAACCGCGAGTTTTTCCTCAAATCCGGTTTGATCACGGCCTGCACGGCACTGCAGCAGAGCCCGGATAGCTCAGTCGGTAGAGCATCAGACTTTTAATCTGAGGGTCCAGGGTTCAAGTCCCTGTTCGGGCGAGTCTCCTTTTCCTCTGTTTTTCCACTTTTTTTCCCAATTTTTTCCCTTTTTTCCCACTTTTTTTTCCCCTTTTTTCCTCTTTTCCCAGCCCTCCCCGGGGGTTTCCCGCCCGCTCCCGCAGGGGCGGTCCCGCGGTCTCTTTTTCGTGGCGGAGGGAGCGGCGCGGACGGATCCGGGCGGTCCCATGGTGTAATGGTGAGCACTCTGGACTCTGAATCCAGCGATCCGAGTTCGAATCTCGGTGGGACCTGCGCGCCTCCCTTTTGCTGGGCGGCACCGCCCACAACCCCCGCCCCGAAGAGTCCCCGGGGGTGTCCCCGCTTTGGGGGTGTCCCCGGGGTGTCCCTGCTTCAGGGGTGTCCCCAATGTGTTCTTGGGGTGTCCCCAATTCAGGGGTGTCCCTGGGGTGTTCCTGAGGTTTCACGGGTTGTTCCTGCTTTGGAATTGTCCCTCAGGTGTCCCTGGGGTGTCCCTGAAGTGTCCCTGCTTCAGGAGTGTCCCTGGGGTGTCCCCTGGGTGTCCCTGGGGTGTCGCTGATGTGTCCCCGTGGGATGTCCCTGCTTCGGGGGTGTCCCCAAGGTGTCCCTGAGGTGTCCAAGATGGACAGCTGGGCTGGCAGAGGCTGCACAGAGGGACAGCAGTGGTGGCACATGCTGGATGGCCGGACAGAGGCCGGACAGATGGACAGCCGGACAGCTGGGAAGGCAGAGGCCGGACAGCCCGATAGAGGCCGGACAGCCGGACAGAGGCTGGACAGATGGACAGAAGCTGCACAGATGGACAGAGCCAGGACAGATGGACAGAGGCCGGACAGATGGACAGCCAGAGAGCTGGGAAGGCAGAGGCCGGACAGCCAGACAGAGCTGGACAGATGGACAGAAGCTGCACAGATGGACAGAGCCAGGACAGATGGACAGAGGCCGGACAGATGGACAGAGGCCGGACAGATGGACAGCCGGACAGCTGGGCAGGCAGAGGCCGGACAGCCAGACAGAGCTGGACAGATGGACAGAGCCAGGACAGATGGACAGCCAGGCTGGTAGAGGCTGGACAGCCAGACAGAGGCTGGACAGATGGACAGCCGGACAGCTGGGCAGGCAGAGGCCGGACAGATGGACAGCTGGACAGATGGACAGCTGGGCAGGCAGAGGATGAATGGCTGGACAATCAGACAGCCAGGGTGGCAGAGGCCGGACAGCCAGACAGACAGAGGCCGGACAGCTGGACAAAGGCTGGACAGATGGACAGCTGGACAGTTTAACAGCCAGCCAGCTGGACAGACAGCCAGCCGGACAGACAGACAGACAGCCAGCCGGACGGACAGCCAGCCAGCCGGCCGGGCAGGCAGAGCCAGCGGGCTGTGACAGCTGTGCCCACAGAGCCGCTCCCGGGGGCGGGGAAGGCCAAAGGGGAGAAAACAACCGGAGAAGAGGAAGGAAAACAAACAGAGAGCGCGAACCCAAGAGCGGCGACCTCCGGCCCCGGCCCCGCCGCCGCCACGGCCCAAAGGTCACCCGGCGCACCTTGGCCACCGTCCCCACCGCCGCGGTGGCCATGGCGGTGCTGCCGGCCCTGCTGGCCCTGCTGGCCGTGCTGCTGGCCCTGGCCCCTCTGGCCGCTGCCCGCCTGGCGCCCTTCCTGTGGCAGGACCTGGCCTTCTTCGGCACCATGGCGCGGTCATCGCTGCGCTGCCGCCGGCGCCTGGCCGCCAAGCCGGCCACCACGCTGCTGGACGTGTTCCGGCAGCACGTCCGGCTGCGCCCGCGCCATCCCCTGCTGCTCTTCCAGGAGCAGGTGCTGACCTTCGAGGACGCCGAGCGCCTCAGCAACCGCGCGGCCTGGGCGCTGCGGCGGCGCGCGGGGCTGCGCGGCGGGGGCCAGACC